ATGAGTACTCTGACTTGATAATCTTGAGTTCATATTCAATCTATGCATGTTTTCACGATTCAATTCTGCTTTAGTCGAGATTATTGATTCTGCTTTGATCATATGAGAGCGAATACCTGATTAGGTCAATAGAGCACCATAGATTGATAGTAGTGGATCGATTGCTTTAGTCGAGGGTTGATTCACTGCTTTGTATCGATTGAGAACCTCATTCGATAGAGGGAGTCTAGTTCAGAACGCCTTGATCGATTGTTCTAGAGAAGGATACGTCCCTCTAGGCAATTGACTCAAGAGGGCCTTGTTCCTTTAGTCGAGACTCAAGGTCTAGTCAAGGATTCTCCGCATTGTGAATGAAAGTGAAACAAGTTAGAGATCATCAATCGTTAATCTGGCTAGTGGCTAGGGGGAATCATACCTAAGTGAGTTCCCAACCTGTAATTAGATTAACTTTAACTGTAGTTTGCTAGAGTAGTTTTAGTTCTTTCATCTTAATCTGTTTTGCTAGATAATGAACTGAAGCTGAGTAATAGTAACTCTAGAGACCCGTGGATTCGATATTTATTACTTGAGCCACTATACTGCAGTTAGGGGTGGCTATACGGTCCGGTCCGGTTAAATTGGCCCAAATTGATCCGGTCCAGTCCGGTTTTTTTGAAAATATAAGGACCAAAGATTGGATTGGATACAGTCCGGTCTTGATCCAGTCCGGTCTTGACCCAGTCCGATCCCAATTCGGTCTTGATTTTATATTGAGATTGTGGGAATTTGAGTGGCCTAAGGCCTAAAAGGGTGAGGAGTTGGTTAAGTTTTGTACTAAGTGCAAAGGTTTGTGACCGTTTATGCAAATTACCCTTAAGTTTTGGGTGTTGAGCTCTCTTATCCGGTCTTTATCCGGTTTTTTACCTCAAATCTAAGCCCAAAGATTGGATTGGATTGTTTACTATCCGGTCCCGGTCCGGTCTCGGTCCGGGTTATACGGTCCGGTTTTCGGTTTTTCATCCGGTCCCGGTCCAAATAGCCAGCCCTAACTGCAGTCCCTTTCATTGGTTACACTTGGCCATTGTTAGGAGTTGTGTTTTAGCGAGTCAACCATCAAGTACCCACCAGCCCAAAACGGGACAAGGGCCCCCAAGGTGACGGTTACCAACTAGTCACCAAGGCGGCGACAAGGACCCCGAGGCGGTTTGGAGCAACAAGCCAGCTAGCGGTTACAAAGGCAGTTACACTCGATGTCTATAAATAGGAGAAACTAAAATTGTAAAAGGGTTCCACAACCAAACATTTGACGCACAATGTCAAACTTTATCCTTTTCTCTGCAAATTAGCCATAGTTTTAGTTTCTGGAGCTCTCACTGAACCTCCATAGGAGTAGAGTAACGTAACTTAGCTTTGTTCCCAAAAAAACCATCAAACACCCTCGTTCGAACATTGTTCGGAGAGGAGTGAACCATGTTATTAATCGTTGTTCAAGAAGCCAAAGGTGCATCCATTGTGTTCAAACACCAGTTTTTCCTCGCCGGAAAACAGTGTGTAAACATCATAGAATGGAGTTACCGAATGGGCGTCGATCCTGTTTGGAGTTGGATATATATGTGAATTCATTATTCAAATAGGAGTTAAATGCACCTATTCCCGTTTAAGTATAACTAGGTGGCGATGACATGCCTTATCGCGGGACGGAGATGGTTTATAGGCATGTATTATGTGGCCCATTATGTTGTTTTGTTAGTATTATTAGGCTAAAATCAATTATTTGTTAGTCGTTTTTGTTAATACTATTGACTCGACAACATGATATTGACTGTGAAAATCTATATGATAGTCAACATTCAATGTAAAAATTTTGAAAATTTTGGCTAATAAATAATATTTATCTAAACCCAAGTAGAGCCATTGATTATGGGTAGAATATGAGTGACATATATATGGGATTGGAAGTTTGTAGATGAGTTTGGGTAGGATTGTGTATAAGTTGGGTATGGATACCCATTTATTCAAGAGTGTTTTAATTAAACTTACGAAAATTAGACCTATTTGTATAACTTCAAAAGTTTAGGTACCAAAATGTAATACACAAAAATTTTAGGTACTAAAATGTAAGGTTTCGTCAATATTTTAGGTACTAAAATATTAGGACTTATATGCCAAAAAAATAAATTTAGATTATAAATCTAAAAATCTATTAAGTTTAGGTATCGAACTGTAATTTGCATAGTTGAAGCTTAATTCCTTTTATGGTGATGTATATCACTGAGGACTGAGAGTCTTTTCCTCTTCACTCTCCGTTGTACTGCGCTCTCCAAGTGTGTGTTCCCCCCTTCTTCCTTACCATGGCAATTTTGAAATAACTCCGATGCGAAGAAAAAAGAAGGTGCTAGGATACCCTTCTGGCCCTACCTTAAGATGATAATTATTTACTATTTTATAAAAAAAAATGGAAACTTATTTGATATGTGTAGATAGAATAATTGTTGCCATTTTGGCTTGCACACTTTGTGTTGCTGGCTTGTTCTTCTTTTCTTTGATTTGGACTTTGTTTTTCTCCCTCTAATGCAATTTATTCATCATTATACAAATAATTGTTGTCCATTCTAGCGTGGATGAAAAAGAAAAACTTTTGAGAGAAGAAAAAGGAATACAAATCTGAACTTGCTTAAAATTCCACGCCTTTAAATTCCACAGTGGAAAATGACAACTTTCTTATAAGTAATAACCATATATATTTATTTTTAATTGGACTCGACATTGAGCTGAAAAAGTTAGTGGTTCATATTTCGGTTATTAATTCTCTATACTTTTGGTGAATCGTGTATGAACCCGTTCATACTTGTGAGAATACATAAAAATAGTATTACTAATTAAGGTTATGGAAGGCAAGTGAAAAATGAAACGAAGAGAAAATATATGATGGAGAGGTTTTGATCAATTATTTTACAGACCGTTTGGTATCAAATAAATCGAGTTTCATTTCATTGTAAAATGAATTACCGTGTAGAATTCATTGTCAAATGAAATCATATGTTTGGAATGTTATATTCAAATCTTTAGAAATAAAATGAAGTGTCGTATAGAATTCATTTTGAAATGAATTCTTGTGTTTGGTATGTCATATGTATAAGTAATTTAGTTAATAAAAGAGGATAATCATGTCATAACGTGCTTGACAAATGAAATCCTATGTTTGGAATATTATATTCAAATCTTTAGAAATAAAATGAATGTCGTATAGAATTCATTGTGAAATGAATTCTTGTGTTTGGTATGTCATATGTATAAGTAATTTAGTTAATAAAAGAGGATAATCATGTCATTCTATTATTATTAGTAAATACTTGTAGAATTCATTTGAAAATTCCATCTCAATTCCTCATAATTGCTATAACTAGTTCCAATTCCGTAGAATTAGAATTGAAAATGAATTCATTTTAATACCAAACACAAAAAAATTTCATTTTAAAATGAATTCCTCAGAACTTATGGAATTCATTTATACCAAACGGTATGTTAGTTGGCCGTCAATACAACAGTCAATCCTTTCCACCGTAGCAATTTATTGACACTTGCTTATGTAGATGCCACATATTTTGTTACATGTAGATAGTAGAAGTTTGTTTAGCCCCGTAAATGTACAAAATGAGTTTATAAATTCGCTTTTGCAATATTTTAGAGTTGTCTCTTTTTTATCATTTATTTAATACTTCACGTAATAAGCAAATATAAAATGGTCGAATATTCTTCTACAGTTGAGTAATACAACATCTTGTATGGTACAAACTAAATTTATATTTTTATGTTATGGTGGATCGGATTCATGGATTGTTCCAAAATGATTGGTGGATTGGATTCATGGATTCAAGTGAAATCTAAACATTGGACCAATATGTAAATTTTAAAAATTATAGGTACGAAAATCTCATAAAATTTAGATACCAAAACATAATTGTTCAATGATTTTACACTAAAATTAATTTTGGGGTATCAAAATATAAAATGTACATTATAGTGACTAAGTAGTAATTTAGTTAAATTTTGGATATCAAAATTTAAGTTTGTATGCAACAATAACCAAACTTCAGCTTTATATATAGTAATGTATACTGCAAGTTCATTATTAACTAATTTTTTGCTGCAACTAAATCATGTATGTTGAATTTCAGTTGCATCGTCGCCATTTTCATTTCCAGACCTATTGGTAGATCCCAAATGATAATTATCCATATCATGTATGTTGAATTTCAGTTGCATCGTCGCCATTTTCATTTCCAGACCATTGGTAGATCCCAAATGATAATTATCCATATCGCGCGGACATTCCACATCAACATCTGCTAAGTCACATGTGAGTTAATTACATGTATGCATCATAATGAACTATGAACTTAAAACCGCTCATAATAAAAAACTGCAGAGATGAGTGACCTTTTAGTAGGGATTGCAATTTGAACTCACCCCCATCTGGTATTATCCGACTTGACCTACGTTAAGCGGGTATTACCTGTCTTGTTAGTAGCGGGAGCGAGATATGAAGCACTATTTGGACCTGTTCCACCTCGTCCTATCCCGTTCTTGATCAATCTTATCTTAATTTTTGTTAATATCTATTCGTGGTCACATTTTGGCTTTTTTAATCATGTTTCCAATTCATAAAATTTTAAATAAGTACAATATTTTTTTATTTTTTTATATTACAATACTTAAAAGCGGGAATAAAGAATATTGACGTGGCAAACGATCAACGAAGTTGAAAGCGGGAGAAAAGGCACTGCAAAATCCCGCGATTGTGTGTGATTGGCTCCTTACCCTTTTCGGCGCTGAGCTTGGAAGCAACACGACAAAACAAAACAAAAAATAGAGGAAAAGAAGAAGAGAAAATCCAGCTTCACGCTCAAGCTTTCTCTGCCGCGCTCAGAAGCTCAAACGATTTTCTGCAGAGCCACAGAACACAAATGAAAAACAAAATCAACCCCTGCAAAGAGCTCCCATTCCCACTCTACTCAACAAGGGATATAAAAACTCAAAGACAATAAATGTTTAAAACAAAGCATCGCAGCAAGGACCGTTGTTCAGAGTTGTGAGAGTTCCGACGCTAGGTTCGTTTGAGAGAGAAATGGTTCTGGCGAATCGCTCTGCTCACTCATCGGAGAAATTAGGGTTAGCTCGTTACTAGAAAGTTCCGATATCCGAAATGGTGAGCGAGAGAGGGGGAGCGGAAGAGCGAGCCGGCGAGGACGGCGACGGGAGCGATGAGGAAGATCTGGAGTGGCGCTGCGTTAGGCGGAGGAGAGAATCGAGTGACGGTGATGAGAGCGTGAGTTCAGCAGGTGCTGCGTTTGGCGATGATTCGGTCGGTCTGGGAGGAGGAGCGCCGCCGCTGGAGGATGAGGTGTCGCCGTACTACTTCGATGAGCATGACGTCGGAGATGGAGAAGACGACGAACAAGGAAGAGGAGGAGGAGAAGAGGTAGCGGCGGAGAAACGGATGAGCAGTCAAGGCGAGGAGGACAAGGAGCCGAAGGGGAAACAAGTCGTTGCAGTTCCTAGGCGTGGCGCGTTCTATATGCACGACGATCGAACTGACCGTCGAGGTCGAGGCCGGTAATGTTATATTTTCCGCTCTTCACTCTCGAATTTGAATCTTCGCGCCGATGCTTTTTGAACAGATTATACCGAATTTGATCTGCCAGAGCTCGAACTAGTGTTAGAATAGAGTTGTTTGTGGCATTCGGAAACGCCGTGATTCTTTGCTTGATTGCTAATATACGTTTTCAAAATCTAGCTGGGATATGGACAGTTCCAGTAGATCTCGTCTGCGTTTCACATTTAGAAGTTCCTCTGTGGTAGCTCACATGGAGTTTCTAGAGTAACTGAAGGTAGAAAGCTGGCATGTAAGCAGAAATGTGTCCATTCAGCTGCTTAGCAGCTCATTTATCCTCTAGTCTCCTAATTTTGGAGTTTGTAGTGGGATGTTTGTGTTCTTTGCTTGTATTCTATATTTCTGTTCAAGTCAAGTGTCAAACCAACAGTAATGCATCCATTAGAATGCAGCTAGTGGCGTTTCATGTGTTGTGAATCCTGTTGATTCATTCAGAATTGAATGGAACTAGTGACATGTAGGACGGACAATTATTTAGCCTTGTTCTCTTCGTTCTCTTGCGGTTGAACCTGTTATTAACCAGAGTCCTATACGTTCAGGCAAAACTATGTGGCGGGAAGATTGATTGAACCCCTCGACGAAGGAAAATGGCAGCATGACAAGTTCGAACAGATACAAGCATCTAATGACAAGAAGGTCATGGACCATGTCGGACTCATGTGCTTTGTTTCTCATTTTTTGCAACTATTTCGACGGTGTGGTTGGAGGATATGAACATTTTCCTATGATTGGTTTTGCAGCTAATGCTACTTATCATTTACATTTATTGTTACTGTGAAGAATAATGAAGACAACGTCTGATGCAAACCCTTTCCTTGAATACCACAACAATCAGGATTCATCAAGAATTTTGAAAGGGAGAGGGCCCGTAAAGTATCCACTCGCCATACGTTACAGTAGATATCCATCAGAGGAGAATAAGAAGTAAGTTAATGGTTTCAGTCCGAGTTGTTCTCTCTTGATGTTAAAATTCATTGACTTGTTTGCTTTAACTTATCATTAGAGCTTGGAAGTCTCAGGAAACAAGAGCAAACTCTGGGAGGGTGCTAGCAGAAGCTTCAAGTCTACAAGTTGGTTCACCTGCATCGAAGAAGGAAGTATCTGCATCTCATCAGAATCATGCAGCAGAAGCTTCAAGTCAACAAGTTGGCTCATCTGCATTGAAGAAGGAAGTGTCTGAATCTCATCAGGATCGTGCAGCAGCTGTGGGGAATCCTACAATTTTTACTTTCAATCATGCCATCTCCGCATTAACAAAAAGGAATGAGCAAAAAAGAAGTAAGGAAGGAAACTCTCCCAAATCTGTCCTATCAAAGAATGATCAATTCATGGAAACTGCCATTGCATCTCCACCTTTGAGGGGTTTGAGTGATTCTACTGGGAGGGACCAGCATCCTAGCAAGGAGTTGATCCGGGAAAATAATCTTGAATGCGTTCAGTGGCATGGTCAGGGAACTGGTTTGCCAGTTTCACCTCAGCATACTTATCAGAATCCTGCTTCTAACCCAAATGGAGGTGCTCTGATGATAAACAACGGAGTTATGCCACAAACATCTTTCAGCAGCTCAATTCCACCCTCTTTCCAAGGTTATAGTCGGGAGTATACACTTTTCGGATCACCATTTAGAGCTGTTGTCCCAAGTGCATCCGAAATTGGGACATTGTTCATATCTGCTGGACTCAACACTGAGTTGATCCATCCAGCTGCTAGCCGTCAAGCAGCTTTTCTGCCTCTGCAGCCGGTAATGACCTGGGCAAATAGTCCTCAATCTCTTCAATGGAATGGTCAGGGAATTCCTTTGTCTCCATCGCATCATGCTTATCAGTATACTGCTTCTAACCAAAATGGAGGTGCTCTGGTGATAAACAACCTTGTTATACCACAAACACCTTTCGGCAACTCATTTCAACCCCAGTTACAAGGTTATGGTCAGCAGTTGTATTCTCTTTCTGGATCACCTGATGGATTAGATAACTCAGAGATTGCAATGGCTGGGAGAGAAAGTGGTGCTGATGGAACCTGTGGAAGAACTTATTCTGGAGATGATACCCATACCATTCAGAACTTCACAACCACTGTGAATCACTTTCCTGGTGAGTTCCTTTCCGCCCTTGCTGCCTGTTACATAATGTAAACTCCATAGTAGTTGCAGACTACCTGCAGTAGCATGAATGTGCTCATCTTATGCTTGTAGACTTGAGAGTTATCTGCTGCATGCTCTAGTTAGTGATGAATGGTGGCAAGAGTTGGGAAAACAAGTGTGTAGCGTGGATTATCAGTAAACAAAAGTTCATGTCCAAATGTGCTTGATAGGCTGCTCATTGACAAAAAGCATTCTGGTTTTAAAATTTTTAAATGCTACAAATGCAGTAAACCAAGTTAGGGGTCAGCATCTTAGCGAGCTTGGAGAAATTGGAACAGCTAATGCACCTGGATATTATGCTGCTGAACCGAGTTTCGGGAGTTCTGCCTCTGGTTTGGCAAGGTATGCTTGATTACAATCAGTCGATTGGTTTTCTTTTTTACAATAGTGAAGATAGAAAGAACTGTCTATGAATCAGCACTCTGACATATTTGTTTTCCAACAATATCTATCATCCTTCAGGACGCAAGTCTGGCCAACTAATGCTGGAAGTGTAGGCTCTGCCCATCCTTCTTGTACCTATCCGACACCAACCACCGGAGAATACGGCCGTGCCTATTCAACAGACCCAGAATCTTCTCTAAGCATGGCTGGGTTTGTAAATTTTCATACTTGTCTGTGTTATGGAAATCACTGAACACTTACTGAAATATAGTTTCCACATTGGTTCCATTAATAACCTTATGCAGAAATGAAGACAATGTGAGACCTCATGAGGGCAGCAACCCTATGGATGGATATGGTTAGTTTTGTTGCATTTGCAGTACATGAATGTTCAAAACAAAAAACATTTTGATTATTATTTTCCCATTTGTCACGGGAGCTTTGCATTGCAGAAATGCCAAATACAACACGTGGAGAAGGACACAAGCTTCAAAGGCAAGTCAATCATTTGAGTTGCTTAAACTACGGATTTATCTAGATCCCTCATCGCTGTATTGCTTCTGCAGGTATTCGAATATGAATTTCAATCGAAGCAAATAGATCAAAGCCGCATTAGTGAGTAAGCAGGTCAGAAATTTTTCCTTTGAACCAGCATGATTTTACATAGAACATGCATTTTGCTTCTTCAATATGCAACCAATTTGTTAAGACTTAAATCCTGCTTCTTTATAGCTTCTCAAATTTAATCATAGTGGTCGGTTGCTTCATCTTGTGGCAATCGTAAAATGACCCACGTCATTTCCCCCTTCACAATGGTAATTTTGAGGCAGACTACGACGGAGAGCTCTTAAAATTGGATTATACATGATGTCTTGATAGTTTCCAAGATAATAGTGATATTGAAGTTTCGTGGGTATTTGATGAGAGATTTGGATATAAGATTGGCTTCCATATTTTATATTAGAATCATTTAGTACAAAAGCTAATGTTTAGCTTGCCGAAAAATAGTATGTGATAATTTTTAAATGTTATGGGAATTGCATTATAAAAAGAAAAAATGTTATGGGAATTGGAAAACCTACACATCTTGAAGGTCTTTTCCGATTCACAAATTTTGTGCTCAAATCCCACGGTAGTAAGAAAATAAATCTAGATCTCCCATTTTTCAATTCATTAATCTGAAACATCCGTTGTTTACGACAGGATACTTGCTGGTTATCGTCGCAGCTCAAATGGTTCGACAATGCTGGTGCACAGACAACTAGATATCAAAAAGGAACTCAGGGTTACACATTTTATGTAGCTACAGAGAGGAAATTTTGTGATTTCAGGCTTGTGCAGATATCTACAGACTCTTTTGAAGAAGATGAAGGTAGCTAAATTGGCTTCCCTATTCCCAGTTCCCATACAGAAATCTTTTGTAAGCACCAACCTCCCTAACTCTCAATTTCAGGTATCTTCCTTCATTTCTGTTGATCGCCTCGTCTGCATATCTTTCCATATGCTGCCAAGCAGCATATAGTTTTGCTGTTTACCAGTCACTGATCAGATGAATGAATAGATTAACCTTTGCCATTTAACATTCTGGTTCCCTCTCTGTCGCTCTTCAACTTTGGCTGCTTCTCTGTTGAAAACTTCCAATCCATGACATGGTCATGGTCAGCTTATAGAGCCCTTTGTGATCTGTGGACAACAACTATTCTTAAAAGCCAATAATCAAATGAGTTGGCCAATAGATGGGGTATCAATTATTTGTGCTGACACCATGTGTGGGTTTTGTATTAACTTCTCATCCTCAAAATGTATGGAAAAAAATTGAAAGCCATCTAGCTGGTGTCTCATATATCTTGTTTATTGCATACCAATTTTTTTTAGAAGCCATTAACATATTTAAATCCTTATCTTCACTTAATTTGTCGGTGAGCCCTTGGCCCCGGCTGATAACATCATACCCCATTGTATTTGTTGTGTTCGTCAGCTCTCATCATCTTGCTTTTAGAACTTTGTGTTAATTAATATTTAGGGGCGGTGCTTAAATTTCCAACAACTTATAAAAACTGGGATAATGTTGTATGCATAATGAATGAACTGTTCTGAATGTCATGTAGCATGCTACCTCACAACAACTCTTTAGAAAAATCTGGACTGGGATAGTATATGTGTACATAGGAAATTAGGTACATTTTCAAGTCATTGACTGTGGAGGTCTCAGGACTTGAAAACGATAGGCATGGACTCCCTGTTCCAATGTTTTCTCTAGGCTGGGATGTTTTTTTATTATTATTTGTTTTTAAGGGTGTTTGAGATTAGTGATGGCGAATGATGTTATAAACCTATCTGCTCCGATTTGATTAAAACTTTTGTGGATGAAGGTTAGTTGATTGGTGGATCACCGAGAATAGGAGTTTATTGTATCTCATAATAGGGGTGAATTTTGATTCATTAGTTAGTTTCTGTACTCTTTCTAATTAAACTCTTTAGCAAAATCTGTACTGGGATAGGGTATTAGTATGTGTGTACATATGGAATTAGGTAAATTTCAAGTCATTGACTGTGGAAGTCTCAGAACTTGAAAACGATAGGCATCGACTCCCTGTTTCCATGTTTGTCTTCATAAATGATGTCTGCTCCGGTTCGATTGGACCTTTTGTGGATGAATGTTAGCTATCTCGTGAATAACAGAGAGTAGGAATTTATTTTATTTCTCATAGTAAACGTGAATTTCGATTATAAATGATTCAAATTCATTAGCTTGTTTCAGAAGGTAAGATCTATGTTTTAACGTTTCGATCATAATTGATTCAGATTCATTAGCTTGTTTCCGTACTCTTTCAAATTAGAAAGGTATGGCTCTAAAATTTCGAAGGTAAAAATCAAGTTTGTTATACTTCTCTCAGAATGTAAGATCTGTGTTTAAACGTTTTTCCATCTGACCCAATGCGTATCAAGGCGAATATGAATTGGGATATGGAATGGAGATCCAAGAGTGGCTGAATATGTGAAACACAAACAAACACGAAATGGACAGCGAAGAGTGAAAACTGAGGCACATTTTGTGGACAGGCAATGGCCCCTGTAATATTTAGAATGGGGGAGGGAGACGACAGTTCTATAATTGGTGTGGGGATGGTAATATCTGAGAAATGAAAGTTCCACTAGTCAGTGTGGCTGTGGGACTGTGACATAAAGTCGCCAGTTCTTGTCTTCTTTAATACAATTATACGTGACACTTACCATTGTCAGCTTGTCAGTAAAGTACACTTCAGGCACTAGAGAAAAAATATTCCAGAGAAGAAAAGGAAGAAATTCGTGGAATTGGCATCCAGCCAGCCTTGTGATTTCCAGAAACAAACATTGCCTCTGAATTTGCGTTGGGTGTTTTTGTTGTTTTACTCTGTGAGGGAAGAAGGAATTCCCTCTTTCTGTTGCTCCACATGAATGAATGGAAGTGAAAGTTGCCCAATTGAGGGTCAGCCGAGCCTGTTTTTTGTCTCTCATTTCTTTCGGCAGGTCATGTGAGCAACACGTGTCGCAACATGATTTAGCTGTGTCACGTGTTGACATTAGTATTTGGAAAACCGTATTCCATCGGAGTTTAAGCTAATATGAAATGTTTGAATTATTGTTAAATTATAGTTTTGATACAAAATATTTATTGATGATTTTGCACTACAATCTCGGTACAATTTGTGATTGAAATGTTGAGTCCAACTTAGCCTTCTTTCCGTATGTAATAGAATGACATTTGTTATCTTGTTTGTGAAATGGAAAATTTTAATTAGTTAGTCTCCCGGGATGGAGGCGGTGGAACTGGAAAATTATCGACATATGTGAGTGATCGTCTTTGATAGGTGTTCTGAAACAACTTTATACTAGTTATCGTCCTTCCATCGATAGCTTGTGATGGAGTACCCACCTACACTATTTTAAGTTGATAATGTTGAATCAGACTCGGTCATGATTCATTGTTTTATTAATGAAATCAACCATGCAAATTTATTGTATACTTTGGAGTTGCTCATTGTGATCTACAACCAAACAAGTGACTTGGTTTTCAAGGTTTTAACACATGACAACAAATGCTATTTTGTCAAAACTAGGGGTGGGTATTGGGTGGGTCGGGTGGATTTTGACCATAAAATGCACCCACTCACGCTTAAATGGATTGATAATTTTTAACCCACCACCCACCCACATTTAGTCTCGGATTGGGTCGGGCGGATGGTGGATGATTTGGGTGGTTTTGTGGGTTCACCCACATCACAATGTATATAATATAAAGGAGTCAACTTGACATGATAATAGGCTAAGAGAGTTATCTGGGGAAACAAGAAGATGAAATAGGGCGAAAAATGTCGAATTAGTTCTTAAAATGGATAGAAATTCTATTATGAAAGAGTTTTCTACAGATTGAGATGATTATCAGGTGCAAGGAACTAAGAAAAATAATTCCACAAAGGAAAGAGCAGTGATCTAGGCACAAGAACTAGAGGAAAGAATAAAGGGAAGAAGAGGGGATCGCTATTTGGAAGGTTGGCTTTGAGGTTCAAATTCTAGGAGCAGTCCTAGTTTATGTCTAACGTCTCCACTCTCCCCTCTCTAGCGCTGACGACTTTGAACTTTTTGCTGTTGGGTTGAGCGGGTCACCCGCGCACCCACCCACAACCCACCCACCACCCGGCGGATGGCTCTCAGCGCAACCCGTCATCCACCCATAAACCCACCCACTTAAAAAAATTCGGGTCAAATACGGGTGGGTCGACCCAAACCTGCAGATGATCCGCCCGCATGCCCAACCCTAGTCAAAACTAGCCTCAATTCCTACAAAGAAAAGCCGATCGTCACCACATGGAACAAGCTGTTGAGACAAGACCCATCACCGTAAGGAAAAATAAAGGAACTATTCAACCTTTGAATCATTTCAAACCAGGCTTAGGCCTTAGAACTAGTAGTAGTAGCCATCCCAATAATTCAGAGCCAATTTGGCACATTTCCACTATTATACGAACGCATCGAGACAAAAGGCTTCCCCCTAACTTCGACCGATCTCATCATGCGCCTGTCTTTGGATGGTCTTAGGAAATGCCTACAATCTATGCCTTGCCAACGGTGTTGGCCTCTAGTGGCTCTTTTAGCCTCTAGCTCGATCAAATACTGAAAATTGAGGTGGAAATTTTTTGGGGGCTTGTTCTTGTATGGCAATAAGTAGTTAGTAAAAGCTGTATTTTCTTTCAAAATCAAGTGATGGAATTGAACGATTCTCAATACAAGGATTGATTTCAATATCGGGATCTCGCCACGCGTTCTTAACTGTGTCTCCAGTGGAGAGGAATGGGAAGGGCGAATAAGTCGGGTACCTTAAACAACGATGGTAGTATTGAGGTAATGCTTCTGGATCTCGTCGAGCTTTACAGAACAGGAAAATTTTCGAGTTTTCAAAGTTAGAAAGAACACGGAGACAAGTCATTCTATCAAACATACGGGATGATCCGCTCTCCGATTCATTTAGTTCCGAGTTATGGGTAATGGATGAGTAAAATGAGTTCTTATCCCTGAGTTATGGGCAATCATACACGTATTAAAATGATCTTTTTGCTTTTCATTTCCACCCTCGAACTGTTCTCTTTCCTGTCATTATTCTCTCCTTCATGCAAAGCGAATATTGTTAAAACTTAAAATTTAAAGGGATTAAACCAAAAAAGTATAAAAGAATTTTAAACTTTAGACTTATCAATCTACATTTGAAATTCAATTGCTATTCTCAAAATGCTTAGCAAATTTGAAGATAACAAATTCAAATGACAAGAGATTCCACCTAAAACGATTGAAAATAAGACAACCCACATAGTTTTGGTACTTGCCCCCTTACCGCTTAACACTTGCATTAATCTACTAAACAATCTTACAAAAGTATTTTGGTGGTAGAAAACCCCTCAACACCGGCATGATAAAATAAAAACAAAAAGATTCTTATCCACATATCACATGTTTCAATATTTATTTACCACATATTACCTCAATGCTATCAACCACATGCCATAAAGTTTTTTTTAGTTAACCCTCCAAGCATATTCCTTAATCCCTTCCATTCCCACTCTTCCACTTAAGTTATATATAAAATAAATCAATTGCATCCCGATCGGATCAATCTATCAACTCAACCGATTTAGTAAGAAACTCAAAAGATTAAAATTGTTGACAATCAAACTCGATCGACCTAGTAACTAAGATGGTGTACTCATTTGTCGCACTTGACCGAATTACTAAACCGATTGACCACATACGAGTAATACACCATTCACTCATGACTCATTCATTCCCTGCCAGCTAGGTTATTCAAATATGTCTCCTCTTTGTAAAACGCTTTCACTTGGAGTCATATGACACATGCTATCACAATTGACCTTTTAACTACGATAATGTACGTATCTATCCTAATCGACCTGAGTACTAAACTGATCAACAATATATCGGCATATACCATTCATTCATTCTTGACAGCTAGGTATTTAAATATGTGACCCTTCTTTGTAAAATGCTCTCACTTGGGGTCACATGACACATGCTATCATCTACTAAAGGACTCAAAAACTTCTCCTTCTCCTTCCACATGAAACCCTCTGCTCCCAACCCTGCCTCCAGAATTTAAGGTGGCAGAGAGAAGAAGAGAAGCACCATTCTTGTGCTCTTCTTGTGCTCCCTCCCTCTCTTTTACATCCACTCTCTGCCATTTGGATTCCTTACAGCTCCTTTTTTATTACTACAGAACTCTTCTTTTCAAGCAATTTGTTGACCAGTGAGTGATCTCCATGTGGTCCTTTTGTCCCCTTCTTCTTATTCCCACTTCCCACATAGTTTGGCTTAATCCTCACTCCATTGTCTAGTGTGCAAGCAAAGGCTTCCCACTCTGCTCTCTTCTCTTCCCTCCATAGATTAAAAAGATTGAAACTTTAATACATCTTATAAATAAACAACTGCTAGATCTGATCTCACAATTTTGTGAAAACAGAGTAAGCTTCGTGCTCTGTTTACTCTGTTTTTTTTTTTTTTTTGGAGAGGCAGGGGAAGTGAAGAAAAAAGGGAAGGCAATATTCAGATATCCATCAATGGGGAAGCTGATGGGTTTTGGGAAGGTGTTCGACAGACTCTGTCTGTCTCCATCATTGCCGAACTCGAACTCCTGCTTCTGCACGAAATTCATGGAGGCTGGTGACGATGATGATTTGGGGGAAGTGTTTGAGCAGAAGGCGCCATTGATGATGGGGAGTGTTGAGAAGAACAGCAGCAAAGTGGTGAGACTCAAAGATGTTGTCTCCGTTAACCCGAATCAAACTCTGGCATTTCAACTCAAGCCCAAGGTAAGAAAACCTCTTCTCTTCTCTTCTCTTCGCTTTCCTGTTCATGATTCTTGAGTTGTTTGTTTGATTGTTTGTTGTATTTGCAGATGGTGATTCTGAGGGTATCCATGCATTGCAGTGGCTGCGCCAAGAAGGTTGAGAAGCATGTTTCCAGGATTGATGGTGAGTCATCAACTGATTGATCATTCCAAGTTCTTCGAAAAACATGATTTCTTTCTTCTTCTTCTTCTTCTTCTTCTTCTTCTTCTTCTTCTTCTTCTTCTTGTCTTTGTTATAGATCAAATCGTTCAAAATGATTAACTAATTATTGTCGATTCATGTAGATGTACAAAATTTTATTAGAAGGTGAATCTAGAAATTTCTAATGAGTGACTAATGTGATAATTCTAAATAAAAGTTTTTAAGTAATTGTACACACAAATAATCTATTCTCAAAATCGTTTATAAGGTCAAAATGGCATTCTATGCATGAATCTACCATTATAGATTTAATAAGTATATTCTAAGAAAGACACTTTAGCTATGTGTCTCAGTCTCCCACATCTCATCCCAATACTAAGTTCCAATTTTCTTGGTTAAATCAAAGTGCTCATTGGTTTTCCTAATCACACACCCCATAAAATAATTTGACTCAATAAAATTCGTGTAACCTTAAAAGAATACAATACGATTTGTACAATCACCCCTCCACAAACTAGCTGACCTAAGAAATGCATTCATCTATCAAAATAAAACTATTAAAAACTCTTTTTTCTTAATTTATCATACCCTAATCCATCAAATGAAGAAAACAAAAAAAAGGTAGAATAGTGAAATAGTAGTATGGGTTAATTGCATGGTTGGTCACTGAGATTACAAAAAAAGTTCATGTTTGGTCACTGGAAATATTTAAATCCAATTTTGGTCACTCAAATTAGTTAAATGGTTCAAGTTTGGTCACTCTCCGTCCATTTCCGTTAACTCTAGCTTACGTGGCAGTCAACTTTCATAGTTGACCGTTAAATATGTGACGTGGCAATTAAAAAATTATTAAAAATATTTTTTATATTTTCCACCTCATTATTACATTCATTAAAAAATAAAAATCAAATTTCTTTTTTTAACACCCCAATACCCTACTTGACCAAACCTCATCACCACCGGAACACAACCTCCGGCCCGGCAGTGGCATTCCTTCCAGATTCGGCGAGCTCCCCATCATCACACTAACCGTATCGAACACCTGCTCCATCCGGTAAACCACCGGCGACTCCAACCACGACGACAAAATCCCCCCTGATCTTCTCGTCGCTGTGCCCCACCACCGCCTCTTGTAGTCGCCACGCCGCCCACCCCAAATAGTTCCCCAGTAGCTCCCCCGCCGGGGCGGAGGTCCTCATCGGATTAATCGAGTTCCCGAAGTAGTCAAGATGCAGGGGAGGATTCATCCTTCCCTTCCTTACAGCTGGCGAATAGAGCAGGGGATGAATTTAAGCACATACCTGAACAGTGTTCACCACGAAATTGAGCATAGTGGGAAGAGCGCTGGTTCCGACATACCCATCGCCTTCAACAGAGAGACCCTCTAACTGAGTGTAGGAGTGAGGTTCGAATGAGAGTTTGGGTCGAGAAGAAACGTGAGAGCCGGGTTTGATCGGAGGAATCAGAATCAGAGAGAGTGAGTAAGAGAGAGATTAGAAAGAGAAGTAGTTCTTGTAGAGAGAGAATGGTGAAAAATGCGATCCCCTCACCCACCGTAGTAAATGCCATATTTATAGGCTTCATGGTGGTGGGTGAGTGGTTGACATAGGGAGAGATACAGTGATGTGACTACTGGGATACAATGATGTGACCACTAGCATACTAAGGCTTTTAGGCCATCCCTCTACCTAGGATGAGTCAGAGATCCACTCATGGCCCTGATGTGACTACCCGCTTGGAAGAGGTGCGCTTCCCTCATCTTCTGGTTCAGCCTACGCTAGTCCTCCCCTAGCGCCTGTCATCTCTTCGCGCCTGGACGTGGTTAGCCACGATGAGGCGGCACACTCGGGGTCCTCGCGCTGCCGTGTTGGGGTCTCATCCAGTTGCGCCCGGTTCCTTGGCGTGGTTAGGCCCGAGTCCTATGCCCAACAATTGCCCCCCAGCAGGGGGTGTTTTGTGAACGCCCCCTGTTTAGGTTTCCTCCGGACTCGGGCCGGTCCGCTTGTAGCTATTGGTTGGCGCCGACGTGCGCGATACTATGAACTGGCGTCGCCTTGCCCTGACGCCATGTGCCATCGCGCTCGTTGTTGGGCTTCATTCGGTCGCCACGCGCAATGCTTGGCGCGCGCTGTTGTGCGTACGGGGTCGTTTTCTTCGTGCGCGGTACGCGCTAATGCGCTCGTTGTTGGTCTTTGTTCGCTGAGCGCGATACCCGCGCGATGCGCTCGTGGAGTTGTTTTCTTTTCGCAGCACGACGCATGTTTTCCTCTTCCAGGCGTTATCCTCGCGATAAGCACTCGCGATTGATCTTTGTTCGTTGAGCGTGATACTCGCGCGCGATGCCCGTCGATGCGCGCATGGGGTTGATCGCGCGATGCGCTCGTGGAGTTGTTTGTTTTCCTCTTCCAGGCGTTATCCTCGCGATAAGCGCTCGCGGTTGATCTTTGTTCGTTGAGCGTGATACTCGCGCGCGATGCCCGTCGATGCGCGCATGGGGTTGTCTTCTTGTTGCGACGCAATGCGTGTCTTTCTTTTCCTCGCGGGTGTGCCATGCCCCCCAGTCGGTGCGCGGCGCTGGTGGCGTCGCCGACTAATGCCTATGATCGTAGGTGTCAACGTGTCACTGTGTGGTTAGGCTATTTGGGCGGGGGGTTTTTGAATTTCGAAAAGATTTGGTGGGATCTGACTGTTACGGATCCCAATGTGGCTTTAACCTTTCGCATTCCGCCGAACGGCCTTGGCCCTTCGCTTTCCCCCGGATCAATTATAAATATGAGATTGTTGAAGGGAGGAGGGCTCACTTGTTTTCTCCGATCATAGCCTCGCTTTTGTTTTCCTAAGATTTCCCTCCTCCTTCACTTCTCTTTCCTCGAGATTTTCTCTCCTCCTTTTACTACCCCAATCCTCTTCTGCTGTTGATCGATTTCGAGTCGATATCATGTCCAACATCAACAACCAGGAGGCCGAGGTCGTACAAGGCGAAGAAGGTAATGTCTCTCCTCTCTCGCATACTTCTTCTGACCATTCCGGTGGTGGGAATGGAGGTTCTGGGGATTGGAACGGTGGATCCGACGGTGGGGGTGGCAGTAGTGGTGGTGGATTTCCGGCGACGCCGACGTTCGATGCTAGGTCGGGCGATGGGGCCGGAAGCTCTTCTGATCAGGGTATAACCGCTTCCGGTAGTGGGGAGGTGGCGCGGCCGGCTCGGGGGACTCTGATTATTCGGCGTAACCAGGGTGGTGGGCCGGTTGCCGGCGACGAAGCGGCCGACGAGGAAATCGCCGACGAGGAAGTCGCCGATGGTGAGGTCGGCGACGATGAAGTCGCCGACGATGAAGACTTCGGCGATGAGACAGAGCAAGGAGACTTTGATGTGCAATTCGCGCCGCGAGCAGTCGAGCGCGTTACCGAAGCCATGGCCCGCTTGGGGCCGCAGGGTGTTGGCTCTACATACCGCGTGATCGAATGGGCGGAGATGTGGGGTGACCAGCCGGCGCCGTCTGACAATCTCAAGCGCGGACCCGAGCACTCCTCGACGTATGACGTGGATGACGTGGAGGAGTTGGTTCGCGGACTGGGTTTGCCCCCCAGTTGGGAGTACGCCGCTCCCTCGGTGCGCAGTATGGTGGGTAACTGCCCCCCTGGGTGGTTCGGTGTGTATGCCGAATACTGGGTTATGGGGTTCAAGTTCCCCATCGACCCGCTGTTATGCGCCATATACGACCGCCTCAAATGCTCCATCGGTCGGCTCTCCCCGTCAGTGATCATGCACGCGAGTTGCCTTCGTCTCGCGTGCAAGAGGCTTAACATCGTGCCTACTTACGGCTTATTCCGCAAGATGTACAAAATCAAGGAGCCGACAAAGGTGAGCGACTGTCTCTCCATCCAGCGACGCGACCACCGCCCCGATGGCTTCGTGTACGGCTCGCCCAAGTTGAAGAAGACTTGGTTTGGTCAGTTTTTCTATGTTAAGCCCGCTCCCGGGGAATGGGCGAGTGGGTCGCTGCCGGAGCCCACCACCTGGATGAAGGGCAGTATAGCCGGTTTCGAGTCCGACGTCGGTAAATACGACGGGCTCAACGATGAGTATGAGGCTTGCATGCCTCACCGCATGAATTTATACAAGCGGGGAGTCCGCGAAGCCTGTTTGGAAGAGCTCTTTGGAGATGGTTAGTTATGTTTCCTTCCTTTTTGTATTCTATCTTATTAACCGCTCTCTTACGATTTATTGGCGCAGGTGTTGACTTCTCTTCCCTCGCGAGTATGATGTCAGTGGATGACGTCGCGCCGCGTGCCGACAAGAAAAGGAAGAAGAAGGTCGGCGCGGCGCCAAAACCCTCGAAGCGGAAGGAGGTCGAGCAACCGCAACCGCAGGTTGTAGAGAAGCCCCGCAAGACCCTTCGCATAGCGGAGCCAACCGTCCAAGCGGCGAAGCAACTGCCCGCGACGCCACAATTGTCCGCCGCGCAGCAGCTCACACTGGCGCTTTCGGAGCCCGAGGCGACGGTGAGCCGGCCCGCTCGTCGAGGGGGGGATGGGGCTGGCAGCTCATCCGGGACATCCGCTACCACTCCTCCCGTCAGCGCTGTACCTCCTTCCGCCACCGTCCACCAAGTCCGCGACGTGCGGATTCACACCGCCGCGGCGTGCAACTTGGTGTCAGCTAATCATGCGCTTCGGGCGATCGGGCCCATTCTCTCCGTTCCCCCGCGGGTGGAGAAGACGGACCCTCTTCACGATCTGGCGCAGATCCATTTCGCGGTAAGACTCGGTTTAGGTTAAGGTTTATTTTCTTAGCCTCCCCCCCTTCTTTTTTGCTTGGCTAAGACTCGTGGCGTTGCAGGGTTTGTCGGCGACCTTTCGCGCTCAGCAAGAGCGCGCCTCGATGCGCGCCAAGATGAAGGCCGACGAGGCGCAAATCGTGCAGCTGGAGGGGAAGGTCCTCGGGGCGAACAATCGCGCGGAGGACGCTACCTCTAAGGCCAACGAGGCACTGGAGTCACTCGGCCTTTTGCAGAGCCGATTGGCCGCGGACGTTGAGGCGGCCAAAGAGCAGGTGCGGAACGAGGAGCGCACTGCTCTCCGAGAAGAACTGGAAGTCTCCTTTTCTGAGAGATTGCGCAAGGCTCGCGAGGAGTTCCAGAAGGAGAAGGACGACCTTGTTCGCCTTCACACCGTTGCTAAGGCGGAGGCCGTTCGCGCAGCTGAAGTCGCGGCCGTCCGTCAGTTCAAGTCTTCCCAACCTTTCGGGAAGATCATGGCGGATGCCATGACCAAGGCCGTGATAGCGGTTGGTAAGAAGGTCCGCCCTGAGAATCCGGGGATGCGCTGGGACACTCGCGAGATGGTTCAGCACGTCAAAGTGTGGATCAGCGAGAAGCGTCCTTTGGATTCTGACTCCGAGTCCGAGGAAGAGGAGGAGGAAGAAGTGGAGCGCCGGGAGGAGGTTGAGCGTCCGACAGGGGAGGAGAGGAAGGATGGAGAGGTGGCCGACGAAGATGAGGAGGACGAGGAAGAAGAGCGTCCTCTATTGCGCCGCAAGTTGAGCAGGGAGGGCGGACAGCCCGATACTGGTTCTGCTTAGATGTGGCCCAATTGAGCCTTAGCTGTTTTGTTGTTTTCTTGTACTCTTCTTTTTTTTTTTTTGTTTTCTTGTGTGTAGCCGCGCACGGCATCATGGCTCCCTCTTTGAATAGAACAAAAGATTTTCGACTATGTTTGTGTGCGCGAATGAGTAATAACTTTGTGTGCGCGAATGAGCGACAACCACTGCTTTTGCCTTGTCCCCTCGCGCGGAGGATGTGCGAGCTGGGTGCTCATCTTTGTTCTTTCGAACTTAGGCGCGAATAGTGCTAGACTATTGCTGATATTTTGTTCTTTCGAACCGTGTCCTTTTGCGCGAATAGTGCTGGACTATTGCTAAGTTTTGTTCCGTGGAACTGAGCGCAGAGTGCTGGACTCATACTAATTTTTTGTTCTTTCGAACTGATTGGGCGCGAATAGTGCTGGACTATTGCTAAGTTTTGTTCCGTGGAACTGAGCGCAGAGTGCTGGACTCATACTAATTTTTTGTTCTTTCGAACTGATTGGGCGCGAATAGTGCTGGACTATTGCTAAGTTTTGTTCCGTGGAACCATGTCCTTTTATTTATTGCGCTAACGCGCTATTACAAACGTGGTACACGTTAACCGGCGCGGTGGTATTTCCTTAGATTCTGCGCATTCCATGTTCTTGGAACCTTGTTGCC